TATTTATACATATTTTAAATATAATTTATATTCAATATATATATATATATATATATATATATATATAATTTATTACAAATTTTAATTACATATAATAAATTTGTTTATGCGTTACATGTGAGACCCCGCAACCCTTCACTTCTTTTCTCATCTCCCTGACTTGTTTTCTCTCATACACTCTCTTCTTCCCCCTAATTCTCTGAACCTTGTTCATTTTCTCTGATCATTGGTGGCTGTAGGTGATAGTTGAGAGTGAGCTGATTCCTCAAGCTTGCTCTACTTCTCCGTGCAAGCTTCTTCTTCATCTTTTTCTTCCTTTTTCTTCCCAGAGCTCAGAATCGTCTCACCGAAGTAAGGGAAGCTAGATTCTTGTTGGTTGTGTGGACATGAGCTTAGAAACTCATGAATTGTTTGATGATTGGCTGATGAAGGGGCTATTTTGAAGAAAATGTGTTTTTCAGGTTTTTTGGGGTTTGATGAAAATTTAGAGATTTTCATGTTGTGATGGTTGCATGTGGGTAAAGCTGGGGTTTTTGAACGATTTGATAAAAATGTGGTATTTTGGGTGGCTTGCATGTGGAATTTCTGTTTGTTTGTGCAAGTTTTGATGAAGATTTTCGAACTTGGTGAGTTGCTGCTTAGTATCATGTCGGACGCAGTTCTTGGCACTGGGTGCGTGACCATCAGAGGGCTCTATTGGGCAAGCCCGCCGGGCGCAAGGTTGTGTGTGCCGGGCGAGCTTAAGAATGAGAGCCTCTAGATGGCCCACGTCGGGCGTGGTTGGACCGCGCTGAGCGCGATATCAGTAAGTAACTTAGATTTTGGGTTTCTGGTGTTGCGCCGGGTGTGATTATGCCTCGCCGGGCACAATAGGTATTGCGCCGGGCTTGAGACCTTGGGGAGGTCTCTGCCTTCCTTGCACCGAGCGCGGGTTTGGTACGCCGGGCGTGTGAGACTCCTTAGAGTCTTTGCCTCCTAGCACGCCGGGTGCAATTATAATTGTGCCAGGTGCGTTTGAGCCTTGGTGCTCTCTGGTTGGGCCACACGGGGCGCAACCATGAGTGCGCCGGGCACAGATATGTACTTTCTATATATGCTGTTATACGCCGATATATGCTGTTGTATGCCGATATATGCTGTTATATGCTGATTAATGTTGTTGAGCCGAGCTGAATTGTATGCTGATTTAGACTGTTAATGCTGATTGATGATATTGCTGTGTGGTGAGATGTTTATGCTGAAGTAAGGCTGAGTTGTTGTAGGCCGTAAGACTGAGCTGTTGTAGGAGATCTCCGAGCTGATATGCGTGATGACTCATTGTTTGTTTACTGCTATTTTTGCTGAATGATGTGAGTTGTATATGTGATGAGTTGTATGCTGATGATTACTGAACTAGATGATGTGCTAATAAGTTGTAGTTGTTTATAATTGTTGTACTAATATATCTATATATGCTGATTCTTTTTACTAGCTTATCCTTTGTTGTTTTCATGTGGTTTGGATGCAATGATCATACTGTATATGGGAGCAGAGCAGAGATAAGTTGTTGTCTTGAGGCAGGTCTGTAGCTGACAGATGCAGTAGATGTATTTTGATATTTTGCTATTTTAGCTACTTAGTATAGTAATTGGGTTGTATTTTATACTTTGATTTTTTTAAGCCCCAGGCTAGACATATTATATATACTTTTATTTGGATATATGTATGTTCTATTATGTATGGTGCTGGTGTTGTGAGTTGTGTGACGGTTAGGCGAGTCATTACATTGCACATTCTAAAATATTAATTATATAAAAAGATTCCTTTAGAAAATCTCTTTCCATTAAAATGATGTAGATTTTTTTCTTTATTTATATGTTTTTTATTTAAATTAGCAGTTGTTTGCTTTTTAAAGAAGCACTCATGTTTACTTCTTAAAGAACTAATTTCTTTTCTTCTAAAAAATTTGTTTAGATTTTTTTTAATGTTTAAATAAATAGACTCATTATAGATCAACATTATAAGTTAAATGTCTAGTCATGAATGTTGGATCAATCGATTTACTAATCTATCTTTTAATTAATGCATATGATCTAAGAATAGTTTTTATTATTTTATTTTCATTTAAATTACTATTTCCCTTAAATAGTTCAAATCCAAACTCTTTATTTATAGTTGATATTAAATTTGTCTTCATGAATTGAGAGTCGCTCTTCTATTCGTGAGAGCAATAACTGAACTTCACATATATCTAACTATTACTTGTAATGACATGATATATTTCGTGAGGTCCTATCTATAATACTGAGAATGTTATTTGAGATATTGAAATCTCACTCTCCAAATTGTATAGTTTAATTTACTATATAAAACTATATTTCAAAATTTGTATAAACTATTGTAATTTCGACTTATAATTTTTTTTTCTTTTTACTTTTTTTCTTTCTTTCTTTCAATATTCTACTCTGTTCTAGATGTATTAACAAAATTATCCCAACATTCCCATAATTGTTTACTAATTTGTATGGATAGATAAAAATGGTTTTTTTTACAATAGAAAACACACTTGAAATTGAAAGTGAAACCGTTTATAGGTTTTACACAATCTGTGACGGATATTGTGGAGGGCAATAGTGGCGCGTGCTATATGACCGTAATCACTTTTTTTCGGAAGATTTTTCTCAAACGCCGTTCTTATTTCCATTTTCTCCATTTTTTCTTCTTCTTTTCTCCATCTCTTTCGATTCAGAACACAAACCCAAACCCTAGCGATTCCAAGCTATCTTCGACGATGGCGCGCCACGCGACTCATTGAGTTGAATCGGATAAAGATCTGATCGGTTTGACGCGCTCATGGGTGCTGCGGGCTCCAAGCTCGAGAAGGCTCTCGGCGACCAATTCCCCGAAGGAGAGCGTTACTTTGGCCTTGAGAATTTCGGCAATACTTGTTACTGCAACAGCGTTTTGCAGGTCTTCGCTAATACCTTTATTTGATTTCGATTTCTATCGTATTATTTGCAAAATCGCCGATTCATTGATTGATTTTGTGTTTGTGGTTCTTGCTGGTCATTTCGATAGTTCATTGTTGGTTAGTTCTCCCTGAGTTGAGAGCTTGTAAGGAAAGAAAATGTTGCTATCAAAGAAGGTCAATGTTGCTTGTAGTTTATTTATTTAAGTTTTCTGATTTGGATGTTCATTTAACCGGTTTTGCTGAATTTTCATGGGCTTGATTTATGAATGTGTATAAAGAACAGACATTGACATCGGAGCTTGTATTTGCTTGCCGCGGGATTTTTTTTTAATGAAAATAAGGAAATTTGGAGAGATTAATTGAAAAAGGGAGAGAAACGTTTGGGACTTGTGATAAACTGCTAGAAAATTCCCTTTCACCTATCCTCCTTGAATTTTTGTTCCATTTGAGTGGGCAATTTGCATTCATTGACCCCAAAAATGGTTTGTCATTTTCTTTGGGTATTCATATTGCATTAATGTTTACACTTTATTTTCCTTGTCTTTAACTTGAATGAGGTCGCTCAATAATTAGCAGAACTAATTTTCATTTCTTATTATTGGAAAAAAAATACTGGAATATTAATATCAGCTTATCGGCCATAGATCTCATGGAATTTGGCTTACCTTCCATCTCTGTAAAGAATACTTTTAATCCTGATTAATTGTGTTTAAAATTTAAATATCTTCTAATCATTTTTATAGTTTTTCACCAACAAATTACACATTTTTTTTAATCTTTCTGCAGGCCCTATACTTCTGCGTTCCATTTCGAGAACAATTGCTAGAGTATTATGCAAATAACAAGAGCATGGCGGATGCAGAGGAAAATCTTTTGACTTGCTTAGCTGACTTATTTTCACAGGTAACGAGTCTTATAATTTGGAAAATTCTCTGTTTGTTGTGTGAGACCTCTTCAGAGGAAAGAGGCTTAAACTCCCATAATTCATTATTTTATTCTGTCCATAGACAGTCGAAATGGTTCTCTATAAAAACATTACTAAAGAAATTCCATACCCCTACCCTTCCCAGAGTCAAAATCAATCCTAAACACTAGGGAATTTCCTTTTGCACCTCAAATATCTTAATTTTTTTTCCCCAAGTTCTGTTGGTCTGGCTATAACATGAAAGTAATTTGTATAACATTATGGCAACGTTTGATCCATATAACGGATCACACCTTGTGGAAAAAATGAAAAAGGCTTGGTTGTTGCTGTTGTTGGAGAAACATGCATTTGTAGACATCACTGACTATATTCATGTTAGCATGTTAGCATGTTATTGCTTCAGTTCTTCTTTTAATATAATATTGTGTGGTTTATTGTGTTGATCTAAAGATCTGGTTAAGTTTATCAAGACATCACTGACTATATTCATGTTTACCTAAAATTTGTTTCCTTAGTTAACATTTATGTTCCTTTCTGTTAGCTGTTGTACTTCTCCTTTGCTGTTTTCCTTTGATATTTGAGAGACTGGAGGCAGTGATTGCATTCATGCTTGTCTAAATCTGTTTTGTTGTATGCTTGAGTGCATATGGTATTACCTGTGCAGCCGTGCTTGATAAACTGCTTCAGAGTATCTACACTTTATATTTCAACACTTAGACTAATTTCTTGCCTCAAATTTCCAATTAATGCACTTACCTGCTCATTTCTTTCTTTCATGGTTTTATGTTAACCTATAGTATTTCTTTTGGTATAGATAAGTTCCCAGAAGAAGAAAACGGGTGTCATTGCTCCCAAACGATTTGTGCAGAGGTTGAAAAAACAGAATGAACTCTTCCGTAGTTATATGCACCAGGTATGTGTTTAAACTTTAAACTGTCACGAATTAGCACATAAGTCAGAAAGTGATTATTCTAGAAATTTATAACTTGTGCAGATGTCTTTTGTGTCTGCCCCTACTTAGTTGCTTGTGAGTTTCATCTGATCTAAATATGATCTTAACTACACTTTTAGTGTCACTGAGCCACTCTTGATAACAAAAATGATTTATATTTTAGATCTTATAGTAAAACTTGAAGCTGGAGGCAAAGTTAATGATGAGAACTGAGTTATGGGCAGTTATTGGCAAAAAGTAAGAGCAGTTACATATTAGCATATGTTCATTAGCAGTCATGTATTATTAGAATATGTTGAATAGTATCTGCCATGTTGAGAGCAGTTCCATATTAAATATGTGTGATAGGGGGATCATGTTCCTCTGCTTGGAATGGACAATATTTTAATTTTTAAGGTTACAATCTGTTCCCAACTTCCCATTTTATGAACATAGTTTTATAAACAGGAAATAATTTTCAACAATCTGTCAAAAGATGAGAGCCTGTTGAATTGACCATGGGGCTTGGGTGCATTTGGCCTTTATTTGTAGAAAAATAGAAATATCTCCCTTTGTGAACTGAACATGTACATATTAAATGTTGATTTTTATTAACCATTATACCTTCCAGGAAATGTGATATTTTGATGTTTCCATATGTCAACAACCCCTTGTCTGGGCTATATAAATGATGATTTGTCTTGTTAGCTTTCTGCTTCTGTGAAAAAATAATTAGGCATATTAGGCAACTCACATTTAGATGTTCACCTAAAACATCCTTTTCGTTGGGGTTGAATCATGGTTATTAAGCTTGGACCAGACCAGCTAGTTCAACCCATGAAAGCATATTGGGCCAGTTATTTTCAAGGACTTGTTTGACTTGTCCAGTTTTCACTAAAGACCAGTGATTTTGACCTTTGCCATGGTATAAACATGAGGTCTGTTCATGCATTACAAAATATGTTTTTAATGACATTGTTTTGTCTATGATGAGAGAAAAATGGGCTCAAAGTCTGAAAAGATAAAGGGCAATGAAAAATAATTAAATGGCATGATGAAATCGGATAGGGCAATGTTTAGCTTTATTTGATCAAGATGGTCAAAATTTGGTATAAATATGACTCCTAACTATTAAGTATTATTATAAACTTGCAATTGTGATTGTGATCTTGTATTAACCTTTATTGTTTAGTTGTGTTTTGAATTTGTGATTGACAACTTGTGTTTATTTATTTATTTGTTAAAGTGTTAGATACTTGTATTAGTCTTTTGAAACTGGGAGCATGAGCTACATACTTATGGTTCAACTAGTGTGACCTTGTACTCTAGTAGATGATCTAGTTAAGTAATGATAATTTGTTTTGTTCAGAAAAAGGTTTTTGTATCTCAATTTGTTTATGTTAATGCCATTCCTTACTTATAAATGCTATGTTAATTCTGTTTGCTATACTCAGTGTACTGTTTATTGCATGTTGTCTCTTATTCATCTAGTTTTTTGATTTTGAAAAAAATAACATACCTTTTTAAGATTGAAAAACAATAGTCATTGTGAATCTTCTTATTTTTCATAGGATGCCCACGAATTCTTGAACTTTTTGTTAAATGAACTTGTTGACATTCTGGAGAAAGAGGCCCAGACTGCAAAAAATGATCAAGAGACCTCGCCACCTTCTGAAAAGGCTGCAAATGGACCTAAGAATGGTCTAGCTAATGGTGCTAAAAAAGAGCCTTTAGTTACTTGGGTGCACAAAAATTTTCAGGTGACCTTGATATACCAATTTAATGTTTTTATTTTAGCATGTTGTGTTAAATTTAAGAGTTTGGACACAAACTAGAAGGTTTTATTGAAAGAATTCTGGAATTAAACCAGAGTACACATACAGAACATTGACACTGACCTCTTCCCTACCAACAAGTTACCTCCTTCAAACCAGCTCCAGTCCGAAGCCTGTCACACGTCCTATCTATGAATACATGCATAACTGTCGTACAACACAGCAAATTACTGTCCTACAGTTACTTAACACATAATAACTGCCGTACAACAACTCCACATAACTGTCTTATTGTATTGGTTGCAGCAAAGCTTGGAATAACTATAAACTGAACTTTGTATTGGATTAAATGTATTGCAGTCCCTCTCTTTCTTTCTCTCCCCTTTCTTTGAGGAATCTCATTATTGTAAATTGCTCTGGTCAGGGAATACTCACCAATGAAACTAGGTGCCTGCGATGTGAAACTGTAACAGCTAGGGATGAAACATTTTTTGATTTGAGCCTTGATATTGAACAAAATAGTTCAATTACAAGTTGTTTGAAAAACTTCAGTTCGACTGAGACATTGAATGCTGAAGACAAATTTTTTTGTGACAAGTGCTGCAGGTATATAGAGTTTACTTCTAACTTTGATTTTATAATTACCTTAATGCTTTTGTGGCATCAGCTATTACCTGGCTTTTTGAGATCTATTGTGAAAGTAAATGGTCAGCTCAACCATTTTGAATTATGTGCGATAGCTGAACTATCCTATTATCTGAATGAGTTTTGATCGCTGTCAGTGCAGTGTGTAAAAATACCTATGTAGTCTCTTCTGTTTTATTTTTCTTGTCCATCTACCAGTCTGATAAACAAGATGTGAATCTTTTGTTATCAGTTTGCAAGAAGCTCAGAAGAGAATGAAGATAAAGAAACCACCTCACATCTTGGTCATTCACCTTAAGCGGTTTAAATACATCGAACAGCTGGGTCGATACAAGAAGTTGTCTTACCGAGTTGTTTTCCCTCTTGAGCTGAAATTGAGTGATACTGCTGAAGATGCAGATATTGAGTATTCTCTATTTGCAGTAGTTGTCCATGTTGGGAGTGGGCCAAACCACGGGCACTATGTAAGCCTTGTGAAAAGCCATAACCACTGGTTATTTTTTGACGACGAAAATGTTGAGATGATTGATGAGTCTGCTGTTCAGACATTCTTTGGGTCATCGCAAGAGTATTCCAGCAATACAGATCATGGTTACATTTTGTTCTATGAGAGCATTGGCTCTGGTAACAAAAACTAGACGTTGGAGCCTTGCGAGTTTTAGGTACTTGGATCATTTGGACTTGTCTATTTCATCTGTTTAATTATTAATTATTTTTTCCCGTTTTATTCAACCTGCTTGAGTAGTTGTTATACATCAAATGAGAGGATACGGGTTGTGAGAATGTATACTTAGTGGTCGACATGTACAGTGGATAGTGGAAGAAGCACTGTCCTTTTTCCCTTTTTAAAAAAAAAATAATAAGAGCAGTGTATATGGTTTGAGAACATCGCCGACAGTGTATTCATTATGTTAAGTGTTTAATCAATAGAAACACAGTGCAATGGCAGTCACTGATCAGTATTGTTTTTTTACAAGTTAGGTTATGTGCCTGTATGGCTAAGCCACCATAATCAACTTCTCTCAACTATAGTCATTCTAATGTAAGAGTTATGATTAAACTTTAACTACGCATATTAATTACGTATAACGGTTTATTTTGAAAGCCCAATGGTAAACAATCTACTTATTGTTGCATAAAATGTGTTCTCGCTCCAAATTCCTTTGATGGGTTTTTAAAGAACGGCATCAATATTTAATATTTCAAAGATTTAAAGAAGGGTCGTGTTAATATGTTGATTAAGAAATTAATACATAAGCGATTTTTTTTCTTCAAAATCATGGTGTCGGTTTATATATATATATATATATATATATACATATATATATTTCTTTTTTTTTTTTACGTAAAAAAATTCACTCTTGATTTCATAACTAAATTCCTATTAAAACAAGGTTTTTTCCTTTAATAATTCTAGTCACGGTTCCCGTGTTGTTGTAATAAGCTATGTGTGATTACATGTTTGAAACTTATAAATTTAGTTAGCTAGCTTTACATGTTTGATAATTTTTTTTTTCTCATTTTGTTAATTGTAAATTACAAACACATATCAATCGGATCAAAAGTTAGAAAAGATAATTCTTTTTTAAGTTGGTTTGAAAAGTTATATTTAACTTAACTTACAAACTATAATTCCAATAAAGAAATAATTAACAAAAAGTGGGTTAACAATCAAGATATCATAAACCCATCGTATTTGCAAGACTGCTGTCTATTAATGCCTATATATCTAGGCTGTAAATCATATTGTTCTTCTTATTTTCCAAGTTAACGAGGCTCATGTACAAAATTGGGTACGGAACCCTTTTTCTCTAACTGTTTTTTTGCCGGAGGTTGGGGTCCAGAACAGAAGAGTATCGAACCCTCCAACAGCTGGCTTCATTATTACATTAAACCATTCTGTTCTGTAAATATCAAACTAATCTGCACTGCACGTTTTAATGTCTGTCACTGTTTATTTTGCATTGTAATGTAAGATTGGCAAAACTGGTATTCCAAGACCAGTATTCTTAACTACTGATTTTTTTATTTAAAATTTAATCTACATGTTATACTTTTCTTAGACTGTTGTGTACAGTCTGTTATAGTACACTAGTACAATACTCTTAACATAAACAATAGTAGTTTTTCTCGAGGATGCCATTTTACTGTTATATGCATTTTTCTATAAATTGTTGGTAAAGGATTCTCTAGAGATGTTTAGAGTAAATTAATCAATACCACAGCCAAAAGAAAGAAGCAGAACTATTTTCTAGTTTCTGATATATCGTGTAAAAATAACATGCTTTGAAAGAGGATTGATTATTTTCATAGAGTGAGGGTCAAATACCTGAGTTTCTTGTGATCCGAGTCACAACATTTATGGTATTGATGTGTATTCTGCTGCCTCTGGAAACTGAACCGTTGACTTCACCCTTAGAATTCATTCTTTCGGAGTATCTACAGCCAATAACAATGACTAACTAATCTCTTTGTTAGGTTGGAGGCACATCAAAGGATGGGATAGCTGATCCCAAGATTTAACGCGACTACATACACAAAGCATGATTCGAACTCCTGAACTTGCTTAAGCGTGGATCAACTCCTACCGCTAAACCACACGCTTGAAGTTATAACAACATTTTATATTAAAACTTGAAACAACTAGTATATTGATGTAAGAGAATGAAGAACAATTCTATTCATGTTCAAAATTGTCTAAGCCGCTACCATTTTAATAATTATGATTCAAAAAGGTTTTTGCATTCCCCTCAATTATGTATTCCGCTAAACTACTCAAGGCTCTCGTCAGAAGCAACAAAACTCCTGATTCAGCAGACAATATGCTGCAAAAAAATGTGCATCAATGCATAAGCAAGTAAAACCAACATGTTGTGTTTTAATTGTATATCATTTGAATTGCAATACACTGTTTATCTTTTGTACTTTGGGTAACAGACACTTTAATAGGAAAATGCAAACAATATGGTGAATTCGTATAACATATGAGTAAAAACTAAATTTAAACTGACATTATTAAATTAATCAAGATCTTGAAACATGGCACGGTTCCCATTATGATTATCACTGGATCACTGCAAATCTGCATTGCGGGTCAAGCCAACCGACAGATGATGTGGGAGTTCAAGTTTAGAATTTGAATGAACTCGGGGTTGGTCCTGTGTTATTTGATGTCCTGGACAAATAAAAAAAAAAAATCATCATAAATTATTTGAATATTGGTTAAGACTTCAATTCTCAAACTCAATTGTATAAACAACATACAATTAGACACATTTATTAAAAAATACTAAGCGTATCATACATTTGTTTCGTATAAGATCACGAATTATTCTTAGAGATAATTGTATTGTGAAAAAAGAAAGAATTAATAACAGTGATATATCACCAAAAAAAAACTTTTAATGACTAGTGAAGATTTGTAATTTAATTTTAAAATTCTAATGGAATATGAGACCTAAGATTCAAAGAATAAAAAGTGTCATAGATATTAGACATAAAGACAAAATTAGAAAATTCAAGACAAATTTTATTTATGATTTTATGTTAATAAAAGTTCATGTTGAAACAAAAAGATAAAATAAATTAATAATATTATTAGACTTTCTTCTTTATATTTAATATTATTGAATGATTTTTTTATAAATTATAATTAGATTTTTGTTGAGGGGGTGAAAACTTATATATAAATTAAATTGACTGTTTGTGATTAATTTATTTTCTATAATAATTTTTTTTATATATAATTTAATTTTGTATACATTTTTTTTGTTTTTTACTTTACATAAGTTAAATAAATTTTTTTTTCGATACTCCTACAAGATTGGGTTTTGGATGGTCGTCCCTTCGACTTGTGCTCAAGACGATCACTAAATATATTTAGAGGTGTTTATAAGTCAGATTGGTTCGAATTTTGGTAAACGTTTAATTCGAACCAATTAAATTTACTGATTTAGTTTGATTTAGATTTCATTATTTTTTTACTTAACCCAAATCAAATCAATCTAATGTTGATTGGATTGGTTTAGTTTGAGTCATTGGATATTCAATATTTTTTTTAAAAAGATATTTTTTTTAAAGTAAATAGATTTTTCAATATTAACTAAATTGATGTATTGTAAAAAATTAACTAAATTAATAAATTTATAATAAAGTTTCTCTTGATTTTTTTTTCTTAATTTAGTTAAGCATTTCAAAGGCAATATAGTGTGAAAATGACACTCAATATATTACAATATAATTTTTCTTAAATTTTTTTAAGTATTTAAAAAATTGAATAAAAAATCTACATTTTGTAGCATAAAAATATCTTTAAAACAATCAAAATGATACATACATATTAATTATTAATTAAATAAAAAATAAAATAATAATATATAAATTAATTAGTTTGGTTCAAATTTTAAATGTGTAAATATGATATCCGAATCAATCAATTTAAATAAAAAAAATCAAATTAATTTAATTTGTTCGATTCAGATTGTTTCAAATTTGTCAAATTAATCTAATCTGATGAACATTCATAAATGATTTTTTTTAATTTAATGTTAAAATTAAAACGGTAGAAAATTATTTGCGTTTTTTTTCTTATTGGCAGGATGGAAGAATTATTAACACGGATTTTTTCTTATAGTCAATTGTTATAACCAAGACAATAACTTTTAAAGTAATTTTAAATCATTCTATACCATTTTTTTTCTAATCTTATTTATTAAATATTAGTGGGACCGTCTCTAATAGTTACATATAAACAAATATTAAAAATTATAGATAATTATTTAGAAAAAACATAAGAAGATATTTTTTAATATTTTAAGGGATATAATGGTTAATTAAAAAGTGGAGACTAAAAAAGTACTTACTAAAATATATCTCTTTTATAATAGGTATAGATAAAAAAATAACTAATGTTCTTAAGATAATTTTTTTTTCCAAATCATTAAAGAAGTATTAAATGAAACGCTTCGTATAGAAGTAAATGTGCCTCCAACTGCAACAAATATACGAGAATTTGTTAGAGAATTTATACTAAAATAAGGTATTGCTTACTTTTTTCTTTATTCTTTTTCGATTATTGTTTTACAAGTTACAGCACAAATATATGAGATCGTACAGAAATGGAATGGGCCAAGATTTTAATGTTAATCTATTTATGGAATGGGCCTAAATGTCTGAGCGGTGGATCTGTAAGACTTGCGAGTGGGCCAGCAATGCCACGTCATCCATGTTTACAAATTAAAGGTCGTGTCGCTTGTCTCCTCTTAAAACTTCTTACGAATCTCAACCTTTCCGACAACAACCAATAATTCAACACACGCACCACAAAATCGTAAGTCATAACTATTAAATTAATTTAGGTGAGGCAAATACTACGAAGGTAGGAGTAGTGAGTGTTTAAGAGGATATTAAGCCATATTAATCGTGTCATAACTATTAATCAATCCTCTTAGTGAGTTTTTAAGAGGATATTAAGCCATATTAATTGTGTCATAACTATTAATCAATCCTCTTACTTTTTCGATCAAAATTAAATGCGCTTCATTATAAAGTAATAAGAACATTGACTAGAGAATATAAAGTTTTTCATAAAACATAAATGTATTTAAAATCTCAAAAAATAAAATTCATTTCTTTTTACCTATCAAAATCACAACAATGATTAGGCATGGCAACGGGGTAGGGCGGGACGGATTTTACGTTCCCTGCTCCCGCCTCTGCAAATTTAAACCGCTCCTGTTCCCGTTCCCGATACCCGCCAGGGGTAAAATCTGGGTCCCCATCTTCGTCCCTAGCGAAGTTCAGGTTTGCCCGCTTCGCCTCTGCCCCCGCTCTTATTTTTTCTTCTTCTTTTTTTTTATTTATTTATAAATAAATATGAACAATTTTAAAAAAATAAAAGAAAAGTAAAATAATATAAATTTTTACATATAAATATTTCTAATTTTGGTTTATATATATATATAAATAATTTTTTAATTATATTCAGGGACGGAGCCAGGATTTCAATACTGGGGGGCCGAGAATTGGAATGATCAAATGAGGCGCTACATTTTTTTAAAAAAAAAAAAAATTCCAAAGTGATACCACATAGCAGGCCGTACCAGAAGTCCAAAAGTTGAATAAAAAAATAAATTTGGGTTATTCATTTAATTATACATATGAGTTTATATTAAAAATAGGGGGTGCCATATAGTAATATATATGTATATAAAAAAAAATTAAAATTGTTGGGGGGGCCGTGGCACCCGTAGGTCCCCCCTTGGCTCCGTCCTTGATTATATTATCCAGCAGGATGAGGGCGAGGGCGGGTATGGGGGCGAGGCGGGGTGAGTATTAACAACCCCAGCCCTGCCCCCGCCCCCGATTTTATCAATCGGGGAAAACTCGAACCCAAACCCAAACCCGATAAACACGGGTTTTTTCAATCCAAATCAGGATGGGTTCGGACAAGTATCCACGGGGGCGGGTTAGATTGCCATGCCTAACAATGATACTAAAATTTAAAGTTAAGATATGTGTATATTACTCCAATTTGGGATAAAAGAAAAGTGAATATTCACATATAAAATTCGCAACAAATAATAAATACATATTTAAATAAGTATCTATGAATAATTTAAATAGATATACCTGTATTTATTAATAAATGGAGATAGATACTTGTTGTATAATTATCCGCTAAATCTCTGTTATAATAAAATTATTTAATTATTTAATTAATATATCATATTTTAAGTAAAATAATATTTCTTAATTTTTTTTTATTTAGACAGATGAAATTTAAATATAATAATTTTTTAACTTTTTATTTTGAACATGTGAAATTGAATTATTTTAGTTTATTTAATTTGTTTAAACTTGTAAGAATGAAATATTTTAATAAGTAAATTTAAGTTTTAAATTAAAAAATCTTGATTCATAAAATTATGTTTAATATTTGAATAATTTAAGTTCTGATTTTTAAACTATTATTTTAAATAAATTATTATAAAAATATATTTTTAATTATTTATAAAGTTTTTTAATAAATATCCACATATATTAAAAAAAAATACATGTTACCCACTTAATAAATATGTGCACAATATATGAAAATAGATAATGGAGAGATATTTATCCAATGAAAGAAGAGCAGTAATCATACCCACTCCACCCAACTAAAATAAAATCCATTTAATACTTAATATGGAAAGAAGTAAGGAAATGTTGTTGAAAGTTTAGATTTTAGAATTATTGATTAATATTATATAGAATAATACGAACAAGATCAATCAAAGATCGAGCCACGGGTGGAGGATGGAACAGTTAAGAAACCCGTGACTCAATTTGTCTCGTTATCCTCACTTCACACTTCACAACTTCCCTCACATGCATTTCACCCCTTCCCAACAAACATTCATCTTTGCCCTTTCATTTTTTTTCCCTTTTCCATTATATAATATAAAAAAATAATTTTCAATATTAATTTTGGCTCATAACTTATTAACCGGGCCACCATGTCTTAAAAAAATGAATATAACTTTATTGCTTTTTTACATTTATGATGATTCTATTCTATCGCAATGGTAAAAAAAAAGCTGAAAAAGAGAGGGTCATTATGGTCACGACATCAAACGAAGGTGTTTGTCGCGATCGTCGACGTCGTATTCAAGAGTCCTAATGGCAAATCGCGCACACTGTAGGGTACTAAACTACATGTGTATTAGTTGAGTTGGTACTAAAGCAAAACAACTACAAAATGAGACCTTCTCCGATATAACCATGTAACGTTCGAACTCTGTCGCATTCTCTCATTTTCCCTTTTTCCTCTTCCTTGTAACAACCCAAAACCTCTTCCAAAACAAAGCCATTAATGGCGCTCGATTCCTCCGGCCAGGTAACATTCTTAATCTTCCTCAATTTCAACCTCATTCTCGCTCTCGCTGTTAATTATCTCTCTAATTTTATGCTGCATTTTGTTTCGGAGTTCACTTTAGTGGTTTTCCGACATGAACTGGAATCTCATCTTGTGTCGTGTTTTTTTTTTTTTCGACTTGCTTTGGATGTTACTACTTGATATAGTAGTTATTATAACGAGTTGAGGAAATCAACGTTTCTGCGAAATGCCGAACTACTTTCCAGCTTTGATAGAAAATGAAAAGTGGAAAAGTCTCGACGAGAGTCACGTGAAAAATTGGAACCACACGATTATGGTTCTAGCTTGCGATAATTACTTTACAGTTTGGAATTCAAGTTGATTCGTTCAGAGTCTTACTTAAGATGCATGGATTGAGCTCTATTTTGTTCAGATCGCGCTAGGTTGAAAGTTCTCGCCCCACTCGCGATTCATTGACGAGTCACATTGTTCAATGCGTTGTTAATTGAGATTCAGTTGTTTCTGTTTTTGCTTTTTTTTTTTTTTGGTTTCATCATTACTTGTGGTTTGGTTGCAGAAAGAACATCAAATTCGGGAGTTTGTGGACGGGAATGGAAACGTAGCTGTCGGTTTGAAGTTGCATAATAAACCGAGTGGTGTTGACCTTAACCGACAGTTCCCTCTAGGTAAATGTTCTAATTTAGATCACTTGATAATGTTGTATGTTGTACGAATGGCTTTAGTTTTTATGCTCTTTACCCTTTTGATTTTCTTCTCTTCAGAGATTCCGCCGATTCTATTTGAGGAGACTTCACATCCAGCAGCAATGCACGGTTCACATGTTGGTTTTTCTTTTCTCATGCAGTGATCTAATGTGTTTACGACTCTTTTATATAATGCCTTGATTTAATGAATCTTTTACGGCTGAATGGTGGTAACTGGTAACCGTAGTGAGAGTGGAAATTGAGAAAAACAACACATGGAAGACTCCTTAGTTTCTTGACATCTTGTTGCTTAGAAACCAAATCAATTCGTGACATTTGGTATTTAAATGTTGAGGGGTCTGGGGGTGTCAGAAGATACATGTTTAGTCTCTACATTCCAGGTAACAGTTTGTGTTACTGGAAAGTAGAAGCACAAGATTGAGGAGAGCGGATCAAAGAATATGTAGTCATATTTCACATTGGTTATTTTGGCACTTTCATCTATCCTGATTAAAAACCCAACCAAGTTTTCATTTAGTTTTTGGGTTTTTAGTCACCTTGTTATTTTGGATCAAATGGTTTCTTGAAATGTGAGTCACTGAAGCTCCTTTTTCTGTGACTGTTGAAAAGGAGCAAAGGGACAGCTATAAACTCAAATCAAATGTTTTTTCAATGTATTACTTGCCCTTCTTATTTGAATTTTGAACCACTTTGTTATGCCATAAATGGTTCTCTGGAAATGGCTCAAAGTATATTTTAGAAACTAATGCCTTTCCATTTCTTGCAGGCTCGAGATGTTTATAGTATTTCAGTGTTGCCGGAGGAAGATGAAAATGCAAACTGTGCTTCACCACTAGCTTTTTTGAGCATCTTAGAGGTTCCTAATCAAGCTAAAAGCCCAATGTGCATAGATGGTCACATAAATTGCCAAAACTGCATTGATTTTCAAATGAAGAGTGAGGATGTGTACACCCAGTGCATAATTGACATGCCTAGTGTGAATGGAAACTCAGTTTCACCAGAATCCTATGAAGAGGCAGTTGAAAGTTTTAAAACCGGAAACTCACCAAAGGTAAGTCACATAAACTCATCTTCTGGACAGTTGTTTTTTTTAAGATATTGCATAACATGTAACTTTAATTAACTGTTGATAAGGTATCCCTATAAACTCACATATGTTTGCTTGTGTTTCTGATATGAGGATTGGTATTTTGCAATATTGCAGAGTGTACTGTGGAGAGAATCGAGTTTCAAAGGGGGAAAACTTATGCAGAATCTGGTGAATGTCAGCAATCCAAGAGGTTTGTCTTCTGTTCTTGGGTACCTCAATACAATTAGTTTTCTTTTACTTGACAAGATGGTAGGGGGATAATGATTTTCTGATAGCAATCAGAATAGTTTAGAGCTGAAGGAAGTATTGGCCCATCCACTACAAACAGGTGGCTTGACAAGATAAATATATGCATATAACATTGAAATAAATAGTCCTGTCCTCTCATGTAACAAGGAACAGAGAGCCTTATATTCTTTGCCATTCAAAAATCTTAACGCAATTGAAACACGATATTTGCCGATTTGATTATTCTGACTGCTCATGTAAATCAACTGCGAGATTTCAGGTTTGCTTGTCTTCTCAAAAGCAAAGCGGTAAAATATAAGTGGGTTTTGTTAGGCATTGCATATGCAATTGAACAAACATGTGAAATACCCTAGTTAATAATAGATATGTTTGACTTGAACTTGAAGTGAAGGATATCATTCAAAATTCAATTTGTCCAGCTTAATCCTTTTGCTTTCCATGATTAATTACTTTGAGAAGCCTTCATAATCTGGCGTACAATTTGATATTTCCTTTTCTTTCATCTTACATCCATTTTGTCTTGTTCAATCTACAAAGCACTCCCTTATACTTGGACTCATACTCTTATATTTTTGTGTTCTAGAATTGAGTAGATAGGTGATATATATGCAATTTTAACTCTCATATTTGTAACTCAACAGATAAACCAGTCTCTGAGAAGCTACATGATCTACCAAGTAACAGATGGAGAAGATATAAGCGTGCTGCATCCTTTGACTCCAGAAAAGTTGCTCTTCTATTTTCAATATTGTAAGTTCTAGCAGATTGAACAATAAAACTTGATATTTAGAATTAAAGCTATTCATATTTTGGTATGAATTTATCAAAGTCCTAAACACTGTGTCTATCGGACTTTATTATCATTAATTAAAGGATTACATTAACTAGACCTGTGAGCTTAGTGCCAGCTAAAATATTTTATTAGAAGAAATTTTGTAAGAAAAAAAATTATGCTGCCTGTTACACACTTTAATAAAATAAAACACAACTATATGCTATGATAGATTAATTCAATGATAATTTTAATGTATGACGACTGAAATAAGTTTATGTACTAAACTTGTCCTTCAGTACTAAAAATTTAGTTATTTCATGTGTGTATTCTATTATTTTTCCTGGTAAAATATGTATATAAATATTTTATTATAGTGAGTAATATTTTAATGATTATAACCACATAAATTTGTTAAATATTATATCTATTTTTGTTTTAAATCTGCATATATTTGTGATTCTGTGGTGCTTCATTAAGAAAACACAAAACGCAAACTATTTAATTCTTTCTTTTGTATGTTTACGGAAAACCATGTTTACATAAATCGTTCCTCTACGATTACCTCCCTCTCAAAATTCCTCTTTGATAAAGTCATCCATATCCATCATCATTCACAATACCCACTCCGAAAATGACCACCACACAACCCAATGCCTCTCTGCCTTTATGAAGCTTTAAAACACTCCTACTGTCCAAGCTAAACATTAGGGGAGGATTCGTAAATAGGTTTTATGTTTATGCCTGGCTTGGTTGTGTGTCTGTGTTTTCCAACCTTCCAGGCTTTGTTTTGTCATATAATGATTGAAAGTAATGTATGTTTTCACTATAAGGAAAGGATACATCTAAGACAACTATAGTAGTACTATAGCTATTTTTATATGCAACTTACTTTAGTTAAACATTTGCTGACCTCCAACTGGAGATCTTATGCCTCTTCAAAAATAATTACCAAACTGATACTAATTTTTCTATTGTCTATCTTTGGGTCATTTTATTTTTTTATTTTTTTTATTTTTTCAGTTGGGGCTTTCTCATTCATTCTATATTTAACCATTCGCTAAATTGATTCCTGCAGGTCAAGTTTCGGAACATTGGTGTTGATATATTTGACATTAAGAGTCAGGCAGAGGGCTGATGGGTTTGCTCTTATTTGAAGTTCCTAACTCTGCCACCTCCTGTTTTTAGACTTCCAAGCTTTTATGGTTGTTTAATTTAAACTTTCCCCTTGGATTGTAATAGAGCTCCTTGTGATGTTGAAGATAGAATCTAGGAAATGTTATTTGGCACGAAATATAGTCCTGTTTGTCTTAAAACCCCCTATGCTATTTATTAGATTAGATTATCTGTCAAATCATATAACGGTACACTATCTAATGATTAAACCAAGAGACCCAAACTAAGACCGTTATGTGGAAATGTACCAAAAAATGACGTTTAAATGGAGTGCAGATGCAACAGGAAATGAACGTCGTGGAGTGATTGTGATCCTATTTTCGTCGTCAACCTTCAGAGTCAATTATGGAAGCCAGAGAAATATTGTGTAAAGTCAAGATTCTGTCTAATAATATAATTGTATCTGATGTTTATAGTTCAAAAAATTATAGGAATTCCGAATTTGCCTAAATTGAACAGATCTACATTATTGTACTAGCAGTTTTCAGAGGGCGAATTTCTGCAATTAAGAAGGATATCATTTTTTGTCCATGATATTGTTTTCTTTAAAAGCTCCTGTTTGAGTCCTTTATCCTAACATATAGCAAATGAAAAGCTGGTGATTCCTCAATCATGTCAACCAGAAACAATTTTTATACAACCTTGTAACCTGCATTCTTACATAAAGAGTCTAATTGCATAATAAATAAAATGAAACATATAACTAACGTTTTTTTATTTTTATTTTTTATTTTTTTTATCTTACACAAAAAACCATTACTGGCAACCCCTCTCCCCCAAGTCTACCTCAACAGTATCTTTCCATTTTAGGAGCTAATCCCATAATTGTGCCAAGTAAACAGACTTGTATTGGCTCTTTTTGTGAATAGGCTTTCTTTAGCACGAGCAACCTCCTCCTTGCTGCTCTGTCTGGGATGAATTAACGGTGGGTTTTAAATTTACATCAACCATGTCTTCCTGTTTCGAAGAAGAAAGAGTTTCCATCCCTGGCAATGCTGCAGCAATCTTGCGAAATAAAGGCTGCAATTTTGGATTCACATAATAACACGGACATGATCAGCTTCTACAAAAGATAAACTTACTAAATAGAGAGATGATCATGAAATTAAAATTCCTCGATGTTGTATATTGACTATATTCTATATAAAAGCAGTAGGGAGTCATTCCATGTTTTTCCAGATTGATATGATAGATCACAGAAATTAGAATCCATAAGCATGTTGATAAATGAAAAATATGAGCTGACGTGGAGAATTCGTTAATTTTCACCTTAATATTGAAGCCTGCTTTTGCACTGGTTTCTATGAACATGATTCCACTCTCACGGGACTTGGCATCACCTTCCTCTATAGAAACCTGCCTGTTTAAGTATCAAAATGGCATTAGAATTTTGAAGTTGCAACGGAGCTTAAGATAGTAATGCTACAATAGTTGAAATGCAAATATGATATCAGAAGTGAACACCAACTGGAAACCTAAACCCCTATAATTTTTTTATTATATAGCTACGAATTTACCTTTAAATATGATTTTTCAAATAACAACTTTGATTTATAGAGTAAGGAAATGAGAAAGGAAAATTTTCTGAATGTGCTTGAGGGTTTTTTCCACCCAACAAAAACGGAATTATTTATAGTCAAGATTACAAGAGAACACTTAAAATATCACTACTTCCTAAGATGCGTTGAGTATCTATTCTGGGCTAGTTCGCAAAATAAACATCAAAGGAGCTCTTTTCTCCTAAAATTACTACCCTTTTGCTACCAACCATGAGTTGAGCCTTCTCAATTGACACCTCAACCTTATACTTCATCAACTTGTAACCAATTGTCTTCTTTCCTTCTAGTAGAGTAACTAACTCCAATGTCTTATTCTTTTTCAATGCCTCGGTCTCTGTCCATGGCCAGTTTTCACCTTTTATCTGTTTATGCCTCAAAAACATTGGTGAGGCCGAAATTTTTTGCTTGGGTTTTCAACAAAGATTTTGTGGGTTGATGAGAATTTTTTAAATGAGTATTTTGAGAGAAGATACGAGGTCTGCGTACATTTTCTGGTTCATTTTCTAAAAATTGAGAGGTAAAGGTCATAAAGTATTCGGGATTTTATTTCATTTTGAAAGACCACATAATTATCCTATAAGATAGTAGGTTCAAAATTATTTTGTAAATGAGTATGGATGAAATAGAAAGGAAATGTACTTATTTTATTAACTAAAATTAGGGGTGTGGAAAAAATCAAAACTTATCCATAATCAATATGAATATATTAAAAAATTCGATCTATATTTTTAAAAACTCGAACCAATCCACTTTATAAAAAAAATAGATCTATTTGATTCAATTTGAATTTTTTTAAAATCCAATCTACGAACACTTGTAATAGAAAATTGTATATGCTTTAAGCCTTGCAATTTCACAAATAGCACATTGAAGACTATCAACACTTAACTTAAAAAACAATGATGGAAACATAATATTGATGATTTCAAAATAAGGACGTGCTAACCCTTAATGGAAAAATGAAAACTTTTTTCCTTTTAGACAATACTTACTTTGACATGAGTGATTGAGATAGGTTTTTTTTTTTGTGTCAAACAAACAAGGCTCCTCAAGATAGTATAAGGCCATTCCCTTCTTTTTAACAAAATGATTTAATTAACCAATGCAGTTGTTAGCAACAAAAGGAGTCCCGTTATCCTATCATCACAGTATCCAACTAGAATATGATAAATTAGCAATTATTTTTATGCCAAAAATTTGGAAAAACAAACAGGAATTAATGCCAAAAATTTGGATAAACAAACAGGAATTAATGCAAACAATATGCAAAGTCCCTTCTGACAATAGATAGAATCCAAATGTCTAATGAAAAAAAGAACCACGTGTCTAAACAAATTTCATGATGAAGATATCCTGTTAGTAAACTAGTTAATAATATAAGCATTACAAAAAAGACTTGCATCGAACAAATTTATCAACTCATTGCTCACCTTTTCTCAACAAGATCAGTTTTGTTCCCAACCAAGACAATAATAACATCACTTCCTCGTTCTGTACGCACCTCCTCAATCCACTTGTTAGTGTTCAAAAATGATTGTCGGTCTGCACTATAACAGCTTGCTAAGGAATTTAATGATTACAATTTGATTTTATGTTTCATAGATTTAAGAAACTAAGCACATTTAGTTCCGCAAACAAAAACAGAACATAAAGAGAGCACAAGAAAAAATACACACACAGAGGTAATGAGCTGATGTTTTCATAACTACATAAGTCTTTATTTGGAAAAGTAAGATCGAAACAGACAGAAAAATAACAATCTAAGAATGTGTGCATATGCTACAAAATCTTTTCTCTTAGTAAAACTAAGATAACTTGGAAAAATTATGAGACGTGAGAAAATCTGTAAAGATCCAGAATAAACACTGCTAATTAGATAATGAAACCAGCACTTAGAAAAGAAAAGGAAAAACACTACTACTCACTGGCTACATCATAGACAACAATTGCAACAGAAGAATCTCTTATGTAGCTTGGAATGAGACTTCTAAATCTTTCTTGTCCTGCAGTATCCCTGTGAAGTTAAAATACAGTACACTCAAAAACATGCAAAGAACGTGCAAGAAAAGTGCCTACACAACAATATGAAATTTAATACAACTTTTGGAATACAAATAGTAAACGAACTGTATGAATTTAAGAGGAATACGGCCTACCAAAGCTGTAGACGAACTGTTCGATCTTCAAGGTACATTGTTTTTGACAAGAAGTCAATACCAATAGTAGCCTGAAATTTATATGATCAAGAAATCTGTCAAGAACCTAGCAGGAAAAAGGGAAATGAAAAGACTGTAATGCAAAACAGAACAAAGATAGTTTTTCATTGAAGTTAGTTTTGTATGATAAGTTGATGACTAATCCAAACAAGGATCATCACAAGATGGCATAATTTTCATAAATATAATTACCAAAAAAACTCTACTCAATTATTCTAAAAAATTTGAAATAGTTCAAACCTTGAAAGTAATTTCACATTTCACAATCACTAATACAAACTCTTCTTCCTACTCTAGCACTTCATTAACTCAAACCTGATGACATAGAGCAACATGTGGGCAATAGGAGAATGAATTTACGAGCAACTTGTTCAATTCCACACCGAAACAAATCTTGCACTCTATCAAAATGAATATATACATTACACCTTGGATTCAGATCAACTTCCGTTGTTAATACTCTAGAGACGACATAAATAAAAATCATTCGTATAAAGAGTATATCTGAGAGTACATTGCAGAATACTACTTATCTCCTCTGATCCTCCTAATTAAGTCCTAAATCCTAATCATGCGCGATAAACAGCAAAGCTCATCGTGAATGGTTCTCATTTCCCAAACGTAACCAAACGCAATCTATAACACGAATCTTCCACCTTTATCCTCAATACATAACAAAACAATCACAAAAACGAGCAAACAACATAATCAAAACGGCAACAACACTCTAGTTCAGGTTCAGCTTGATCCAAATTCCAAGTAAAACCGAACTTGACATATCTAACGTATAATGGAAACGCGTTGAAATTAGAGATAAACGCACAAAATCAGAACCAAAACCTTAGAGTTTGATTGAAGTGGAATCAGTCAAATTGAAATCGATAACGAAACCTTGGAATAATAACAAAATTAGAAAGAGTATAGATCGGTGAAATATAGACCTGATAGGTAGTGTCGAATTTGTCATACATGAAGCGAGTGATTATGCTGGTTTTTCCAACCGATTGATCGCCTAAGAAAACGAGCTTGTACTTGGCGAGAGGGGACACAGTCGCCATTTTTCTTCTTTTTTTTTTTTTGGTTTTTTTGGTTTTGTTCTTCGGAAACGTGAGTAACACGGAATAGTTACAGATCTGATCTAGATCTGAATCTGAATCTCTCAGAGCTCGAGAGAGACAGAAAGAGCAAAAACGAAGAGACGGAGAAAATGTAGTTGACGATGACCAACACCGATTGCAATTTCAAAGTGCAATGCCTTTTATACATGCCATCAGAAAGCGCCAACCCCGACCACCACCACACTCCATTTTTTGTATATGACCAATTTTATCCCTACTTTCTTTCAACTTGTCCTTTTTGTCCTCCTTCTTTCATCAACACCCTACCACTATTTTCAGTGTAAATTCGAATGGTATTGAGAAACTATTTTAAATCATTAAATTAACAAATAAAAATCATACAACAATATAAACAAAAATTTATTAACTGAAAAAATAACAGTTTTTACAATTTGGCTTATTTTTTTTAATTCTTCTTATTAAAACTTAATTAAATGAATTGCATTTTTGATATGTTGATTTGTAACATTATATAAAAGTATTTTTAAATTTTGATAATAATATATAGTTTCATGTGTATCGGACATTTAGTTATGTATTATAACATTGACAGAATGTGAGGTAACTAATTGATCATGAACGATCTGAATTATATTTTTTTATAAGATATTTGCAATAATTATTATCGTACACAATTACGTAAATATCACGTCTGATCTTTTGTTTGGCTCAATTTAAATGTATTAAGCAAATTTTAATTCTAGTTCTTATAAAAAAATTTATTATTTTTCAATTATCTATATCGCCATGCCGAGCTCGAGCTCGGTATCACAGCGCAGGACGACCTCGGACATGTGCTGGGAAGATCTTGGCTTAGACGGGATCCGCTATCTAATCAGATCATAACTGATCTCAGGCCCAAGGCCCAACGCAATCCTAATTCACATCAAGACACGTGCATTACTTATACGAGACTCATACTCATACAAACCCTAACTTTGATATCAGAGTCTCTTTTGTAGGTATCACCCCCATCTTGGAGCACCAACGTACCAGTGAAGGAGGCTCACCGATCTTACTCGGCGGATCATCTCTACGGCAGATCTCCGGTAAGAACATCTCCTATTCTTTTATGGATCACTCTAAGTGTTACATATAACTAACTTTTATTTATTAAAAAATTAAGTAATCATTCTAGATGTTACATAATTATGTCAATGTTTAATAATTTTAAAAAAATTGATAAACCTTCGTTATTTATCTACTTTGAAATAATTATTAAGGACTAAAAATAATGAGTATAAAATTTAGAGAATTGAAAATAAAATAAAAAATTACATGAATCAAAATTAAAATTTACTTATTTTTCAAGAACTAAAAACAATATTTATAAATTTTTAAAAAAATAAAAACAGAAAATATAAAAATCAAAATAAAAAATCACCTATTTTGTAGAAAATAAAAACATATTTAAACTTATGTATATATCATGTGATACAATAATTATCATAAGCAATTTATTTTATTTTTTTGTAAAATAAAATATTTCCTAGTCATGCAGTTTAGTTTTATTTTAATTTTTTCTTGTAAAATAATTTTTTTCTAGTCAAAAGATAAAAAAATAACCCTCCAAATAATTAAAAGTTAACAACATCCAACAAAATTTTTAATATTTTTCTATCACTCTGGACGAATGGATCACATCCCTATCCCTAACCATATGCGGCTTAATTTAGTTAGGCTGGATACACTTTTGTTACTCTATTACTTGAGATAATTGAAATATTAGTGGTCTTTTGTTACTTATATGGATTGACATGGTCTCCTCCCTATTTCATATATAGTGTTAGGTGCACACAATTGTAGTAATTTTGTATACTTCAATTCAGAAGTTTAGATGATGCTTGATTGATTAGGAATATCATGTCAAATGCACTCAATGAATCTCAATAACAATTACATTTTCTACCATTTTTATTGTTGGCATCATACCTAGTGGCAAATGCAAGAGAAGCGAGATGAAAACGTTATCTTATAGGTTATCACTAATGGCACTCAATTATACACATTATTCAACAAAATCATAAAATAAACACAAAAAATAGCTTTTGTTGCGGCACTCGTCTCATGGAATCCACCGTGATTTTCCCCCTTCCCGTCTCTCTAAAACGACCATATCATGAGGATCAAAAATCCTTTGAGCGCATATTTCATCAAAGAGCACTGCTATACACAGGCCGAATAATATTCCGAATCATAGGCCAAATTATTAAAATATTATTATCTTTTAATAAATATATTATAAAATAATTATTTAATTTAATATTTTATTATTTAAATTAATTTTTTAATAATTCGGAAGAAATTTCGGCATCTTTCTTTTGGAGGATGCTTCATTTTCCTTCATCAAATGATGATCGACACAAAAGGTACAACTCGGGTTCAAATTTAAAGATCATCCCATATGCCACCACCAAGACAACTTCGCGCAATATTGATTAAATACAGAACTTTTCTGCAGTCAAATTTTATTTGTAATCTCTCAATTTGTCTCCAATTGAGCTCCACATTTGTCATCCTTCCCACAAATCACTCAAGACTTCTTCTAACATTGTTGCAGCCTAAGGCATTGGTTGATGGTCATGGTCCTCTGATGTTCCTCATCGATCAATAACTATGAAATGAATACACTGCTCCTATTTTCTGCCCCAATTCATCGATCAATAACTATGAAATGAATATACTGCTCCTATATACTCCTTTGTAGTTATCTTTATTTAGCAGTTTTTTTTCTTTTTTAAAATAATCAAGAAAAAAAATACTATACCTGTCACTGATGTAAGTAAGGTGTCTTGCTTTGAAGGGAAAGTAGAAGATACTACAGGTATACATCAAGTGTACACCACTGCCCCTATTATTTCCCGAGTTTATTGAAGAATTTTTTTTGGTAATACCTACTCTATTATTTAGCACTTTTTTTCTCATTTCTATTTTTAAAAAAACTAAAAATTAAGAATAAAAAATACCATACCTGGCTACCTGCCACTGTTGTCAGGTGTCTTGCATTAAAGGGTACGGAGGGAGTATATAACAGGAGTACTGAAAATATTCCCGAGTTCATGATCCTTTCCATCATGTCACAAGGGATCTCTTGAACTAACATTAGCCCATGCATTGAAGCTACACATGAAATATCTAAATGTATTAAGTAGTCCATGTTCATTTTTTGGTGAAGAACACTGGACAAATAATTCGGGCAGATTATTGAGAAAAATGTTGACCAACCAAATCTGTCAAGCTTTGCGAGACCAATAAGATTCCTAAAACTAAGAATTAGACAAAAGACTAGCTGTATGTCTCATTTCTGCAACCGGCTAAACAACTAGTTGATTTACAACATTATAACAATTCAAGCGGTATAATCAAATTAGCTCATTCTTTGGCAAGCTTTATCAGGTAGCTCCCATGAAACCCAAATCTAAAATTTTAAACTAAAAAATATAATAAACAATTTTCAATCATAACGTACCACAAACATAATGAAACACGAATGTGGACTGATACACAGTTCCCTAACTATAGCTTTGATGAATATGGTGAACTGGCCACAGGGTAAAAACTAACGATAATATGACAAAGGAAAACCATTTCAGTTGCAAATACTATAATCAAGCATTGAGATAATAAACTTGAAAATGAGAGGGCGGACAATTAAATAAAAAGTATTGAGTACTAAATTACTGTACTCATATTTGCCCTCACTTTTCCGATTGCCATAACCAAGCATTGAGATAAACTTGAAAACAAGGGAGGAGGGATAATCAAATAAGCAAATATTAAGTTCTAAATGCTTTCACTAATAATTTAGAATTATAAGCTGTTAGCACAGTGGCAATTAAATCTCCAAGTTTCTACCACTACCTTTATCTGAGAGATATATGTAATTATCAAATGTGTTATGAAGAATGCATAGCAACAATCACAAACGAAAAAACAAGTTATTTTACTTCTGAGAACAAACAAAATCCAGAGTTGCGGATAGTTTATCTTCACTTTTCAATATTCATTTCGTTAAACACCATCCCATGAATAATTCATAATACCATAGCACCTCAAAGAGTAAATGTGTTTATTTCACTAAAAAAAAGGCAGAATCCAGTGAAACCCTAAAGAAAAGAGCTACCTAGTGGAACCACTAGCAAACCTGATGCTGGACCAGGGAAACTTAGCGATAGCAGCAGCCTCGGGGTGGCCCAAACGTGGACGGTTGTTGCGGGCCCCGAAGGGTTGTTGGGCCTCCTTCTTATGATCGAGCCAGTGAGTGGTGGCGTGGGCCTCTTCTTCGACGACGCTGGACTTGGTTTGCTTGCTCATCCTCATCTTGTCATCTTCAATGATTCGGATCGGGTAGAGATTCGTGGAGATTGAGAGCGGGCTCTTGAGGGTGACGTAGGCCTTCTTGTAATCGGGTTTGGCGATCAACAAGCCACCGCGCTTCTTCTTTTTTCCGTCCATGTTTAGGGTTCGAACCTTCTCGACCTCGAAGCCGTAGAGGGACTCGAGGACGCGCTTGATCTCGATCTTGGTGGCGGAAGGGATGGTCTTGAGGGCGATTTCGCGGATGTTGGTGAAGCTGTTGGGCATCAGAAGCTTTATCGGTAGGTTCGCGAACTGCACTACTCTTCTTCCCAATCTGCTTCCCATGCTTCTCTCTCTGCACTCCAATACAACCTTCCACTGCGGAAACCTTTTTCCTTTCGTTTGTTACCGTCAAATACCCAACTGATCAATCCTGCTTGTCCAATTTGCTTTTCGGTCCAAAAGCCCAATATTCAGACTGTAATGCTTCATAGGCCCGTTTTGGGGTCTGGGAGTGATGCCTTGTTTATTGGGCCTGGATTTCTTTGGTCCTTGCTGCTCTCTCCCCCTCTCTTCTCTTCTCTCTCTCTTGTATCTCTATTTATCTCATTATTTTTTATCTTGTCAATTTTAATAATATTATTAAAATTTATTTTATTTTTACATTTTAATAATATTTATTATTATTTTTATTTAAATAAAATAAAATAATATATTTTCATTCTTCTTAATTATAATGTAACATTTTTTTAATATTCTTTTTGTTGAATTTTATATTTAAATTATTTTAATAAATTTTTAACTTTTTAAAATAATTTAATATCATATTTACAATAAGATTTAAGTAAATAATATATAATGAGTTTATTTTTATAAAAAATATTTATAAACACAAAAGTATATTACTGTAATCAAATATGAAAATATTTAATTTTTGAAAATCATGTATGAATATTTTTATGAACTTTTATGAATAATCCAATGTATTTTAGTTATTCCCAATAATCATGATTTCTAGTTATGAAAAAATTTCTCATCTATCAAATGTTCTCTAAAGAAAAAAAATATATCATTTTATATACATCAAAATCAAATTTTAATAATTAATATAAATATTTTACATAAATTTCAAGGTAATAATTATTTTTGATCAAATTTTTTGATTTTTTTATTATTTATAATTACTTTTAAACGATGATAATTAATGAAACTAATCTTTTATGATGTTGTTAGAATTTTTCATATTAATGAGTTGTTATATAATAATAATAATAATAATAATAATAATAATAATAATAATAATAATAATAATAATTTTAATTTTAATTTTAATTCTATATAATATGTTGAATATTTTGGTAGGAGATTTTAGGGAAAAAAATACTCTGGAAGTTGTTCGTTTTATATATACTTCAAAATATTTTTTTTACAAACTTTTCAATTATTCTAATTTAGTTTTTTTTATACATAAAATCTATATTTATTTTTATCTTTTATTTTGAAGAAACAATATTTATAATGTATAACTATATTTGTCTAGGAAAAGATATAGAAGTATAAATACATATAAGAATAATTTTTGAAGGAAAACTAATTAGTAATTAGTATTAATATTGATTTTTTTTTTATAATAAAAGACTAGTAATTATTAAAATATTTTTTTATTCTTTTAATTTCATTGACTCTGTCATATTGAAGAACAAAAAGTCAATTTTAATTAATAATTTTCAAATGGATATCTAATAATTATTTGTAATCATTTACATTATAATTTTTTATTATTAATTATTAAGGTGAAACCTAAAATATTTGTAATAATTATTAATTTATTAGTTATTTTGATATATTTATTTTATTTTAATTATTTTTTATATCAATTTATTTATAATAACATTTATATACAAAAAAAAATACAGGAGGAGTTTGGGAGGGAAGAAAGTTGTTGCAATTTTTTATATTATTAATTAAATAATATATTTTTTATAGAAATATTCTTGAAAAAAATTGTGTATATTTCGATTGAGATATACAATTAAAGTTAATTTGAGTTTTGCATTCAAAATTTATAAATAATAAAATCTTATTTATTATTGCATATCAAATACTAAATAAACACAAAAAAAATAATTTTATTGTATATCAAATTATGATTTCACAATTTTTTTTTTGTGTATTTATGTATAATAAAAAATTATTTTTTGATAACATTAACAACAAGAAAAAAAATCGAAAGACCATAAAAGAGGACTCGTATATGAAGAGGAAATGAGTTGGTGAAGAAAAGAAGGGGAACTTGGAAAGTGAAGAAGAAAAGTAAAAAGAAAAAAAGGAGGAAAGAGAT